CTCTCTCTGTCGCTCCTTGTTTTGCCGCAGCATGGTTCTCTTTCGCCGCCGCTCTCTCAATGTACTTTGCTCTTTGGTTGTTGTTGTTTCTTTTTGCATAAAAACAGGTTATGTTAATTGATTGAAATTATATTTGTTGGCCATTCTTAAAGATTTCGTCACATCTTCGGATTGCATAATAATAATACGCAAATTTGTGGTTGATTTTGATTCGATTTTGATATCGTTTGTTTCGTGTACGTGCGTTTTCTAGATTTTGATTTGCATTTTTAACAAGAAGATTGGCTGGCGCTGGCGCTCGCTATGGGTCAAAAAACCTATAAAAATGTTTAAGGCCAATTCCAAACTTTGCACAACACAAAAAAAAACACCACACATGGAATCAATTTCTTTCACTCTCGTTTCGGTCTTTTGGTACACAATATTCGTTGTTCAATTGATTTTATTCACATTTTATTTACACAAAAAAGTAATGCGTTTATGTATTGGTTGATCGTTGAAGTTACGGTTTAGCCGGCATCGCCTAATCGATTGAATTAATTACCAAAATATGCTAATCGTTTTACGTATGACTTTCGGGCATTCTTTTTGTGTCTGTCTCGTTTTATTTTAGCTTTTCGCTTATTTATATCTTTCGACTGCTTTTTGCGTTGCCTTTGTGGCTTTTCTGACGTTTCGGTCGCCTGCGCAGTGGGAAGCTAGCAGAACAAGGAACACAAAAAGGCGGGAGAGAGAGAGTGCCAGTCAGCTGTTGCTTCGAATTTGCTTTGGTGGTTGCTTGGCAAAATTTCAAGGAAAGAGAGAGAAATGGGAAAGAGAAGAAGCGAACAGATGTTGAACAGAGTTATCGTCTGCTAGAAAACGTAATCAACGTAACGTAACGTAAACACTAATTGTCGTTAGAAATCGAACAAATAAAATAAATAGAAATAAATCATTAAAATTCAGATATTAATTTTTCTTAACTTATAAATTCTAAGAGCTTTACTTAAATGTTTTAAATTTCAGTTGCATTCATTTAATAGTGTTTTGGAATTTTGCAACCCCTCTAGGGACTATTAAAAAATAATAACTGTGGGTAATTATTGTACACAAATTTGTAACCAGAGTAACTGTAACACTAAAAATAATAATAATAAAATAGTAATACAAATTTTCAAAAATATACATTGAAAAATCTCCTCCTCCTCCTAATATTCAGCAAAACATATATGTAAATACTTCTGAATAATAGAGATGTTCTTTAAAGAAATATAGTTCCCAAAAGAATGTTCACTCCTATGCGCGGAATACTTGCTACAGAACATGAGGCCCAAGGGAGCTGTCTTCAAAGGCAAATCAAAACAAAAATGAGAAGCATTTTTAGTTATAAAAAAAAAAACCAAACTCCAAATGACTGTTCAACAACAGAACCACAATTCATCGCTCGACAATTTCCGCAATAATTATGGCCAAGCAAAAAAAATAACAATATTCTACGAATGGTATTTGTTCTATGCTATAAAAATTGGGCAGGTGGCAGGTGGTGGTGGAGGCACATGTCCAAAGCTCAACAAAAATTGTTATTTCCTTTTTCGAAAATTTAACCTCGTGCCCTGTTGACCGAACGCCGAAAATATGCTGAACTCTGTCTAATCCATAAACACGGAGATTGGCCAAGACAATCGCAAATGAATCAACGGGTAGCCTTCGCTGAAAAACCCGTTAGAACCAGCAGGCCCCAGCATGAACGTAACTCAGTTGGAAGACGGCCAGGCCGCTAAGTCGCTAGGCGCCGCGGCGATACAAGCATTAACCTATTTTACTTCCTTACCTCTAAGATCTCTGAGAGCCCCCCATAGAATTCTCGTTTCGATCTACCGATCTACCAACTAACTTCCGGCCAGAGGTCCGAGAAACGAACGTGTTTTCAACGTGTTTTATTACTGTGGACTTGTGGACTTATGTATACATATATGTCTTTTGTGCAGATGTATATGTCTTTCATTTGGTTTCCTAAAGTTTAATTTCTGTGCTGATGATGATGGCCCATTTGATTAGAACTGCCTGGGCAACACACACACGAGTTATTAATTATGATTTATTTGGACAATAATAAGGAGCACGATAATTATTGGCAAATCTCCTAGCACTTTCAAGGTCATCGCAGCTACCGTAAACATTTGCCAGACACTCTTTAAAATCTCCATTTGCGACGTGCTAATTGGAACTTACTCGAATTGCGTTTTTCTACTTTGCGTTCTGTTTGAAGTTTCTTGGTTATTTGAAGATTTGAAACGCATGGGGCGATTCTCTTTGAGCATAACATAATTTTGCTTGGGGTGGTATTGCGTTGTGGTTTGGAGCACAGTGTGGCTCCATTCTTTGGGGCTCTTCTATCTTTGTGGACTGTAGTTAAGCCTTTTTTTGGTAGGAGGAAATGAAAATAAGTTTCAAACAGGATTTGAAGAAATCTAGTATTAGGAGTCTAGTGTTGAAAAGTGAATATATATAATTTGAATAGATTTCATACATTTAAGTTATATTTGGTGGAGGAGAATAAAGTAAAATTCTGGTAAAGCAAAAAAAGAAATCAAAAGTTGATCATACCAGTATTGAGTAGTCTGTATATAATTGTGTGTATATATAATGTGCATATAATTATATTCATATGATAAGCTTTTTAAACACATACTAAATTTGATCTCCCAAGAAACTTTAAGGAAGATTGCAAGACGAGAGAATGCATAGACTATAATATGTATGTGGCATTGCTATTAATATTCTTTCCAGCTTTAATTTATGCAAATTCTAATCACCGTCTAGTCAACTTTTCAGACTGTCTAGTCATTATTAGAACCAAAAAAATGTTGAAGTAGAAAACTGGATTGAATAATTGTTATTCTACTTTGTATTTGAGAACTCTAAAACAGTCTGAAGATTCAAATTATGTAAATTGAAAACACCCTAAAAACGATATTAATCCAATTTTGAGGAGTGGCTTGTCATATCTAGATCCAAAAATCCATACATCTTCATATTACAACAATATCATAGCCCTCCCAGATCAAAAAAAACCCAATCTTAGTGGTTCTTTTTCATAAAACTTCTGTGGAACCTGACCAACAACTTCCGATTTGATTGGGCCACATTCCCAAAGCCTCAAAACAAAACAAACAAAAAACACCTCTAATAATGAAGAAAATACATATGTGTGAGGCTGGCATGACATTGAATTTTGATTATATTGTTTCTGCCTTTGATTTCAATTAACATAAGCGCTCTAAAGTCTTATGGGCAAACATTTGTCATACCCGCAGACAGTTGTAAAATGTTGTAGGGAAACTCATATCTAGGGCTTGGACAGCAGATGTGTTGATTTCTTGGTTAAATAAATCACAGATAAATCTCTTGCTGGCTTAAAATATCCATGCATTTCCCCAAAAAATATTATTTATAGACCCGACAAGTTAGCCTTTGTGAGACCCTCAAATGAGACCGGTAAATGTATTTTTAATTGAATTACTAAACAAATCATAAGTAAAAAGGCCAAACAACTGACAAATTTATCCCACACCAGACGGTTGAAAGAGTGCCGTCTAAAGTTGTGCGGAAGGTCGGACTTTTGGAGTCGTTGATTTGATGAGTGCTGACGGCAGCCTCTAAAAACAGCAGCTACTCCAAATGATGCCCATTCAAATCCAAGTCCAGAGCTGGCAGAATGACACTCCACTGTAGTGGACACGTTCAAGTTAAATGGTTTGTTATAAATTTCGATAGTGTTTTTGGCTTTTACGTGTCTGGCTATGACCATTGTATTCCGTTTGATTGCCTCTGAAACTCGTTTCGTTCTAGATAAATGGAGACTGGTTTATCCTTTCACTGGCGCAGCTGTAGAATACTCTCGATTCTATTCGATTCGATTTCATTTGATTCTATGTTTTATCTATATGTTTGCCCCCCTGATTACCACAAGGTTTCTGCCATATTGTACGAACATCATTTTTGTTTGTTTATTTCAAATTTTAGCACAACTCGGGGGTGTTATTTGCACAGAGCCTCGATAAGTCAAGGTCGATTTGCCAGACAAATGCCAGATTTAGCAGCTTTGGAGAAGATATTCTTTGGCTTTCATTGGGCAAAACAAACAGAATTCCAATCATTCCCAGGAGAGGCTTTAAGAATTGGGAATTGTATTACAAATTGAGGGAAATAATACTAATAATCTATGTGTTAAGAATCAGTTTCGAAGCCCATCGAAGTTTAATACCTGCATTCAATTTTGTTTAATATTTATATATATATTTTTGTTTGTACACAAACAGCCTCAGAAACAAGGTTTTAAGTGGATATCAAACCAGAACTTCTCGTTTCTTAAAATAATCATTCTAACATAAGTAATTTCTCAATATAGAAACAATTAAATATTTATAAGATTTCTAAAAGGAATTTGAGACTATAAATTCATGTCTTTACTCGAATTTGATTGAATATAGCCATTTTTGTCCACGCATTTAAACATATTTAGTTTTACTTTATTATTAATGTTCATTTAATGGTATTAAATCTCTTTAAATTGACAAAATTAATGCTTATATCATTGTTCCCTTTATTAGGAAAATTTCACAAGTTTCAACCAAATTAAACTTCTCAAGGAAACACCGAAAAAGCAACTAAGGGAAATGCATAAAAAAACCATCCATTAACTATGCAAAAAGATTGCACTTGGGCCGCCACTTGAGGAGCATCAAAAGCAATGACCCTACTTCGCCCCCATAGAGAGATTCCCCAACACCAAACCTCATGTTCAGAGTCTCGGTGTCGCCACCAAAGAGCAAAAAGCAAGGCCCAACCAACTGTAAACGTAAACAATCTTCAGTGCGCAGGACAGTACTCAATCCGAATCCGAATCGGCCACAGCTGTGCATCCAATTCGGGTAAAAGCTTTCTGGGAAATACCATGGGGGAAAAGCTTCAAGTGAGCATTCAGTGGCTTGCTGCCAATTTGGGCGAACGGTTCTTGTAGGTCACGTCGTGGTTGGGTTGTCGATTGTTGCCCAGGTTACGTGTCAAGGAGCTAAAAACCGTCGGCCCTGGCTAATTAAGGGCCAATGTTCATATCCTCTCAAAATCAATGGTGAAAAGTCAAGTGTCAAAGTGCCCAAGCGAATCAAAGTTCGGCTGACCATAGCTTTAGCTTGATTCTAAAAATGCCCTCCACTATCAAGAAAGTGCATCAGCAAATTACAATTTAAGTCTGGCCGATTGCCAGCAAAAACGGAAACCAACGGAGCGATACGAACAGCCAGAACAACCACAACGACGGCAATGTCGAGTGGCAGGTAGGATACCCCTCATATCCATATCCATATCTATTACCATATAGTATTCGTACACGATATAGATAGGGCACAGACCATAGCCGCCCATACAGAGAGTCATATTTGAATAGTATTACGACTTATCCACTGACTGGTATTTGTCGTGCAATCAATAAATTGATTTTGATTGCCACGTGTGTGGGTTTTCCTTAGCATTGTCTTTGGTTTTTCTTCTTTTTTTTTGTTTTTGTGCTTTCGGCGTCGAGCTGGCTGGCAAAGGGTTTCGCCTTTATCTAGGGCTACTCTCGATGTTGCCTTGAATCCCACAGTGCGCATACTTGATGGTACACATGTGGGGGTTTCTTGGCTCTTGAAACATATGGAAATTCAGAGATGGTTTTATAAATTATTAAAATATGTTTACTCATCTTTAATTTCACACTTGACCTTTTTCTTTTGCGAAGTTATATTTTTAAGGCTACTTTTATATTCTTTGGCTCATGAATATCAACTAATATTTTATTTGGAGTATAAAATAGGTATAACCTGCTTGATACATTATTATAGCCAGAAAGAATAAAAGATGTTTGAACACCTGGCTTTCAATTATTTATGCTAGCTTTTAGGGTACACTAGCAGATTAGGTTTCAATTAATATAGAAACCGAGTTTCTGGTCCAAAGGTTCCAATGGGGTTTCAGCTAAATTCTGTTGTTTCCTGTTCTCATATCGATTGTTTGTAAACTCTGTCGAGAGCGGCACCACAAAGAGACCAAAAAGAGACCTCTGAAAAGTTGAATATTTTCCATTTCCACGCTCATCTAATGATTAGTTCATTTGACAATAATATTCATAGAGTACTTCCATTTTTAGATTGAAACTCAACCTTTTTTTGGTGAAAACAATTTGAAGAAATGTGTAATGACTTGACATGATGTTTATTAAGAATCTAAGCTTATAAAATAATCGCAATTAAGCTTTAACTTTATTAATTTAATGTAAATTTCGTCAAGAAAGAATATTCTAGCCTTGAAATTGTAAACCAAGTGTCAAATTTCCGTTGATTAAGCAATGTGAGGTGACGGCTCTGTCATCTTTGCCTGGACATGACTTTTGTGGTTGAGCAAACAGAATGGAAGACACACAAGGAGAAGTGCCTGCTAAACCACAACCACACAACCACATAGATACACAGAGCAAAAAAGGAAGCGAAAGAGCAATGCAAATATGTGCCTAGTAATTTCTTGGCGTCTAGCTGATGAGGAGGGAAAAATGTAGGAAAATGTGTTCGAAATTAGCAGAAAGGGGATGGAGGGAGATGAGTTGTGAGAAAGGAAACTGGAAACTGTTTGCTCCCGGAGACCCCTTGCACCCTCAGCAGCCATGACTCATTGGCTTGCTGTGTCGCTGTCCCGGGCAGCATATACTCGTGCCATTATGCCATGGAAATTGATACTCCCTCGGAGACCCCTGGATCCCCAAACTGCTCTCCTTTGCCAATTTTGTGTTGATTGTAATTATATGTACATTTCGTGCATATTTTAAGCAGCCCGATTATCCTAATTACATGACTGGCTGCTAATAGTATCCTTGGCTTCTGCTGGCAAAAGGAGAAGTTTTTTTCGGGCTCTGATGCGGTCTTCTAAGGAAAGGAGCGATTGTTAGGAGGCGGTTGTGTGGGGTGTCGATAGTGTGGGTTTCTGAGGAGAGGAGGAGTGATTGTGTGGCCTTTGTGGGATTGAGGGTTATTCGAATTTAATGACAGTACTGACCATTTCGTGTTCCCTCACTTACACTGTAATCCATTGGTACATTTTTCGCTTTCTATTTATAGCTCGTTGCTCTATTTTGTCACTGCTTAACCGCAAGTAGTGCAAACGTATGCCAAAGTAAACAAATAATCTATAAATACCACATCACCCCCGTTGCACTCAATTTTCCCGATTGTCTGCCTTTCTATCTATCTATCTATATACATATGTATGTGTCTGTCTTTCGGTCTTTGCATATGTGGGATTTCAGGCGGTCGAACGGCACACTAATGGGGGAACCCCTAACCATGCATATGTATGTATATAGATTCGATTGGTATGACGAAATACAAGTTGTACTGGTGGATGATACATACATACATGTACATGTTCATACGTGAAATTCGTGGAACTTTAATATAGAAAAAAACAAAAATAATTTAGAAATGGAATTTATTTTGTATAATGATCAAAAAAAGGCAAACAATTCCTGAAACGAGTTGATATAAATTCCTGAAACGGCCCCTGATATATGCGATACTCTGTATGTATATATGTAATCTGATGAATTGTAGCCTATACATACAATATATTTGTATAGGTCGACTGCTCTCTCTTGTTGTATTTGGTATCGCTGTTCGGAAAAGGGAAGAAGCAGACCGCGATCTCTCTCAATTTGATAAAACTTGTCATGAGAGTTCGGAAACACATAGACACGACCGTTAGTTATGTTCATTCACTTCGTTCATCATCTTTTCTGTAACATCAAAGGAGTCTGCATACAAAATTTGGTTGCTCTAGCTCTTATAATAATAAATAAACAAAACGGACGTATCGACGGACAGACAGATATAGCTATATGGATTTGGCTACTGATGATGATAAAGAATATATATACTTTATCGGGCCAAAAACGCTTCCTTCTATGTGTTACCCACATCTACGTAAAAATGTTCCAAACGAAATAACCATTTTAAAGACCATTTAAAATGCTGCCATGTCTAAAGCTCTAAAGCTCTAAGGATATTTCGTTTACAGACCACAAACACTAATTTACACCACAAGATATGTAAATCCACCTTAAGAGAAGGTAAAGCCGCTCCTAATTTGCACAATTTTGTATTCATTCTGGGAAGACTTCTGGCAATTACATTTAATTTGCTGACTTAACGGCCTGTGCTTTATCCTTGCAGCCTGCTGGACGCCCTCTGCAGTGGCGGTGGGGCCCGCCTGGCCCTGGGTACCTCCATCGTCTCCTATTTAATTGTCTACAATGAGGCCTCTGCAACGAGTATGCTCTTTGGCGTCTGGCTGGCGACTCTTTATGGGATATTTTCACGTGAGAGACGAGTCCACTGTTGAGACTGTTGTTCAGATTAAATTCAATGTTTTTTTTTTTGCTTTCAAAGTCGTCATTAAGACGAGTCTGAGGAGCCTACAAATGCCTTATGTTCGGGCCACCAACAAATTTGACCATGGCAGCCTTTTTCTGGCCATCTGGCTGGATGCCTTGGCGGCCATGTGTGCCTGCGCAGCGCTGGCAAGGACACTGAGTGCCTGTCTGGATGCCATGACTGGAGGCTTGGCCAGGATACTCATTTTGGGCCGGAATGCACCTGCGAACGAGCCCTGGCCGGATGTCCTAGGTGTTTCCGTTGTTTTTCTAGTCACTGGAATGTTCATGCTTGGTCTGGTGGTAAGTGCTCCCCATTCTACGCCGTATATCAGGCACACTCACTACATTACTATATAAATTCACAGCACTCCAAGGCCTTCAGCCTCATCCTGACACTTGGGATGTTTGGCTTGAATGCAATCCTCAGTGCCGTTGGCTGGTGGCGTGGTGATTTGTTGGCCTGGTCGACGGATAGCTACTTTCAGCCCGATGGCGTTAGCAGTGTAAGTGGATACTATACCCCTCCCCTGCCCCCGCCCCACTCTGCTTCTGGCTGTGTTACTGGGTCAGTGCACTATGCCAGCAGTCGCTCTGTTCTGTGTTTTCCTTTTGTTTTATCGATTTTCGGTGTCGTGACTGGAAGCAATTGCGTGACGAAGCCACAGGATACGGGCTTTTGATTATGACACGTAGTGGCGCGTTCGGGTTTTTCGTTTATCCAACCAGTCAGATAGTAAAAAAAGGCTTTGCCAGAGGTGAAGGAACAATTGTTGCGGACTCTTGGGTGTTGAGCGGAATTATTTGGCTAATAAATGGATCTCCTAACTAGTGGTGTTGCCTCTTTATAGGTTTTTCTGTCCGCTGCCCTGCTAACGTATACGTTTCCCAGCGATTGGCCGCAACAGCATCGGAGTGGACGGTATACGTCCAGCTTGATCACAGCTCTGGTCAGTGTTTCCCTACTCCTGACAGCCGTATGTCTATCCACAGTGGTGCACTTTAAGTGAGTACATCCAACAAAAGATTAGCATAGTCTAACCATCAACTAATCCTCACTCTCTCTCTCTCTTTCCACATAGAGCACGTGAGGAGTACGTGGCTGTGCCTCTGTTTAACATCCTCGATGAGAGTGGCTTCCATAAGCTGGTGCCTGCCTCCGCCTGCATGCTCCTCCTCACCAGTTCGGCTGCCTTTCTGGAACTCTTCCCAGAGCTATATGGGATTGTGGTGCGTCTGGCCACCTCCGAGTGGCGCATACTCTCCAAGCAAATCAGCTACGAGAGCTCGGAGAGTGGCAATCCCGTGCTGGCTGTTTTTATTGCCGGAAGCCTGTGCGCCATGCTGGCCTTTGCCTGTCCCCTGCAGCATCTCAGCTATACCCTGGCCGCCAGCCACATTGGTGCTGGATTCCTGCGTGCCTTCTATCTGCTGTACACCCCCTACAGGCCCAAGTTCATGCATCCCAGCAGCGAGTCCTCACTGTCGTACAGTCGCCTCTCCACGGCGCCCATTGCCAAGAGCAGCAGCTGCAGCAGTGCGGCCACCTCCAGCTCGAGTCGCCTCAAACGCAGTCTGTGGAACATCAGTCTGGCCAAGCACAGCGGCCTGAAAAAGCCCAAGACGAAGCCAAGGAATAAACAGGAAGTGGAGAAGGAGTGGTTACTCCTTGGGGAGCCAACATCGCCATGTCCGCAGCGGGAGGGCAGGGATGTGGAGTCCACCATTCTTTCGGATGGAGAACCACCGGTGAGTCGCCTGCTATATACGGAATAGCAAATGAGTAAACGGGTTTATTGAATGAAGGAACGATTCCTACTCCTTTGCCGTACATCTGTCTATAGGGCTATATGGCTATAGACTTAATGAGCTATGGGCTATCCATCTCTTCTGAATGCTTCTGACAGATAAGTCGTTCCTCCGAATCCAGCAACAAAATACAAAATTCGAGAGCGATGCTTGGACTCGATTCACGGTCCCAGTCTCTGCGCAAGATCTATTGTTATTTGTTATTATATTTTTGTTCTGTCTCATAACCAAGCAACGTAGCTGAGTCGGTCCCAAGAATCTAGCAACATCTTGGTACTGACATCATATAAATCCCATACTATGGTTTTTAAATGTTATGGTTAAATGAAAATACTCGTAGAATCCACATATTTAAGGATATATCTCCCAAGGTAGCCCGGTGTACCAAAAAGTATCGTTACGTTTATTATTCAACACTGCAGTATAGAGTTTCTGTAGTAAAAAGTTTATAAGTTATAGTTTATACCGATTATTTAATAGACTGTATAATCAAGTTTTAAATTTGTTTTTCCTGGTATTATTCTTTCCAGCCATCGGACTTTGAATACCCCGACAAGTTCGACAAAAGCGATTCGGATACCTCAACGGATATTGATGCCATTGTGGATGAATATCGGGAGAAGATTAAGGTAATATCCTTTGTCAATCCATGCTATTTGGTTTCCCTGACAAATCTCCCTCTCATCCGTGCTAACAGGTAACCACAGCAGGACCCTTGGAACGCAGCGTTCGTGTGCCCACTGTCAGCTCGTGGCGGGTGACCATCTTCGCTTTGGTGGTCATTGCCTTGGGGATTGCTCTGTGTGTGGCAGGACTCCAGATGCACTGGCCACCAGCGGCCTTTACCGGAGCCATTGGGGTGTTAATTGTGGCCATAATAATGGGCTTTATACCCAAGTACACGGGCAGTGTGATCAATGTGAGTCCCGTGCTCTGCGGCATGTCGCTGCTGCTGGGTGTTATACTGTTCAGCGGCTGTGCGGTTCATTCCTGGCCTGGTCTGGTCATCTGGCTGGTGGCTGGACTTATAATGGTGGTGCGATGCGATAGGTTTTGCTGCAATTGCTTCGAGCACACGTCCATGATGAATGCCCAGCTGATTCCTAGTGTTTCGGGCAAGACCACGGCATCGAGTGCATCCGGCTCGAGTGGTGGACCGGGACCATCGACCAGTATTCGGATACCCAGGCCTCCCAAGGGTGTGGGGGTGGTCAGTCTGCCGCAACGCATCAATGGCCATAGATGACAGTCGGAGTCGTCGGAGGGCGAGGACTTGTTCCACGAGGATTTCAATGTCCGCGACTTCGACGAGGAGGATGGCGATGCTGGCGAGGATTGTTGGACTGATTAGCCTCCCAGCCTCCTTCGATATTTCGATGGAATATATATACTAATATAAAATGCTTTGAGGATCTCCGAGATGATCTTCAAGCTGCGAGCCATAATGCCTGACTTTTCTAGCTAGATCGATTCAATGTCAAAATCTACTTACAGTATATGTCTTAGTTAGGCAACTCTCTTTACAAATAAAATGCAATTTTCAACTACCTTCATGGCTTGAGGATATCTTTGTTCTTCTTTAGATAAACCAACAATTCACCAAGAACAGGGATTACTCTGGAGGAATTTAAAAAGGGGGTGATCAGAGCACCTAAGTGTGGCACAAATCGGTTAAATTGCGGCCTTGTTCCCTGATCGACCCCTTTAATTTTGGATGTATAAAAAAAAATATAAATACCAAAATGAACTTTTTTCCAACATTTATCGTATTTCTATCTTGAGTTGGAAGCACTACAGGTATGATACATCGCAAATCGAAATACACTTCTTTATCTCAAGATCACAGTACGATAAGACCGACATTTCTAGGCATACAAGTGTTCGTTTTCGATGAGATAATCCACAAGCTCCTTGACGGGTGACATTATAGTCTGCTCGTAGCCGGGCTGAAGCTTCATCACCCGCAGCAGCATCTCACTGCGATCGGTGTTGAGATAATAGTCAAACTTCTCGGGCTCCTCCGAGCGTAGTCGATTCGAAACGCTGGACGACATCTTGGTTTGGGGTTCGGTGAGGGCCCAAATGATCAGAGCAGCCAGACGAGTGCGTTGGCATTCCCCCAAAAAGTTTTCCCGCGTAATGAGTTCGCCATCCAGTCCCAGACGAGTTAAGTGAGATTGCAGAGCAAGGTGATAGTGGTCCAGGCACTCGTCATAGATCTCCCGCCGCACACTTGCCGAGGCCACAATGTACAGCAGGAAGAGGACATCGAGAGTGGGGGAACAGTATTTTGCCAGCTGAAAGTCCACAATACAACAGGCACTGGGCAGAGCGGATGATTCAGTCCCAAATCGAAAGAAGATATTCCGATCCCAGGTATCCCGATGGCACAGGACATTCCTTATGGTCAGAGAGGGGGTCACCAGTTCCTCTGATTTGGTCAGTAGATTGTACAGTTTATTGTTGATGAAACTCTGATATTCCTCTGTTTGATATTGGGGATGTCTGGCGGCCAGGAAGACAATTGCCTGTGGGATGCTCTAAAATATGAACTACCTCTAAACGGTATGAAGGATGCTTACTTTCAGTCCAGTCGTGAACCAAGAGTTATCCATGCTCAAGTGCAGCTCAATCAGCACATCCTTGAAGCGCTCGCAAATGTTGACTTGGTCCTTTTCCTCCCAGGCTATGCTGGCGGCATGTACCTCCGCCAAATGTTCGAGTACCAGTTTGTAGTGCTCCAGGGTATAGCTCTCCGAGGCATTGAGATGTCGATATTCCTGGGTTAGATCTTCCAGGACTATGATATCATTACGACTGTAGAAGCATTTTGGAAAGAGCTTCTTTGTGGCTACGATATGAATAATCCCAGTTATCTCATTTGGCTTCACACATTTCCACACTAAACGTTCTCACCATATTTTTGTACATTTGGTAGTATTTCTGTGTAAATGGCTGATTCCTTGCGGAATACCCCCTTGCGCTCGCACTCTGCACGTTGCGGTTCGTTTTTACGCGGCAAACTTTTGATAAAATAATCCAGATTATGTTTCTCCTTATCTGCAGTGTCTTCCACCGTCAATCTCAATTTGTAGTACTCCCCCATGTAACCCATGAGCTCGTTGGAGCCAGCCTCTAGCTGGGAGTCCAAGAGTATAAGGTTTGATTTATCCTTTTCTTTCAGTGTCCTCTGAGCTATGAGCAGACATTCTTCGGGGCTGAGTAGATCCATTGGGAATGTCTGAACTATTGTCTCTTTGGCTTTCAAAGATAGAATGAATGGTTTTCGGCTGGAAAATGTCTAACAGACAAAGCAATGAATTTGGAACTGCTATCTTTTTTTTGGGAGTCTTACAGATAATATTTCTTATCATACACGTATTTTGAGATAATACCCTTGGATACTGCAAAAGGATTCATTAAACAGAGGTAGAATAATTTATGGAAACCATCATTTACATCTCTTTAAGCTTTATACAGAGACTCTGTCTTTATATGTTTCTATGCCAGTATCAGATTCAATCCCATATTAAATCCAACAACAAAGGAATCTACCTCAAATATGAGAACCGTGAAGTACAATTTTCAGCGATAAGATAACCTCTCAAAGAGAAAGAGAGTGAGAGAGCCAGCGGTACCCCGTAGTGATACGAACCCTAGTGTTACCAGGTGAACAGCAAAGATAGTGAGACAATTCCATTTTAATCAGTTTCGTTTATGATATGTCAGTGCCAACAAATCCCCCACACATTCATACATATAATCGGCAAAGTCTTGATGATCGTTCATCAGACTGAGAACATCGGGTGTACGATCGATATTACAGAAGCGATGAAAGTCCGCTGGTCGTTGATCCTTAAGGCTCTTCAGGTAGTTGTCGGGCAGGCGGAGTATTGTGGCTGCTATGCAGTTGTACGTGACCCCAAACAGGGCAAAATCCTTGAGAGATTGTTCAAACTCCTCGCGACTCAGCTGCTCTTGACTGGGATCGATGCCCATTGTCTTGAGTTCTTCCGCCAATGTTTCGTAGTAGAGATTTACCAAGCGACCAATCATTTCCCTACGATTGGCTGGCTCTAGATTGAGATAGCTAACCAAATGGAAGTCCATGGCTGGCGGGGAATATCGACACAACTGGAAGTCCACCAGGACAGAGCGCTCCTCCAGCGGCCGCTCCTTGTGATAGAAAACATTGGCACCCCAGGCATCCCGATGAACGAAGACATTCCTGTGAACTGGCGAGGGATTGACCATATAATAGACACTGTCCAAGCGACGGGGCAGTTCCTTTGCTATATACTCCTGGAACCTGACATCGTTGCGGACATCGGGATGAGTGGCAGCCACCGCCAGAACGGCCTTGAAAATTAGTATACGTTTATTTGGGGAGTGAAATATCTCTGTATCCATAAGCTCACCCTTAGACCAGCGGTATACCATTCTACATCCGGATCAACGGATACTTCTTTGAGCCACTCCCTCAGCTGAACGCCGATAGTTTGTCCTTGCTGTCGCTCATAGGCCACGCTACTAGCATGAAGGGTGGCCAAAGTCTTCAGGATGGGACCCAACTGATCCTCACTGAGAAAGCGCGTGCCCGACGGAAGGGCCACATAACCCATATCCTCGACATTCTGCATCACGAAGAGATCATTGCGTGTGAAATAGCATTTGGTGCACCACACATGAGGAGCTGTGAACCTATAGCTATAGATATTACTCTTTCACTTTTTCTTGGACTGTTAAGACTTACAGAACTTCTTGAGCTCATTGAGCAGCAGCTCATAGAGCTTGCTCTCCTTCTTGATCAGACCCATTTTCTCCATATAGTATTCCATGTTGGCATTTTGAAAGATCACCGACTTGACGAACAGTCGTGTGGTCTGCTCTTCTTTCACATCTTGCAGCTGGTATTTGAGCTCCAAATGGTAGTATTCTCCGAGAAAACCAACGTGCTCTGAGGCTGGCACTATTTTAAAGTGTTTTAGGACCCCATGCTGCTGCTTATCGGCCAATAAATTCACCAAAATCTCTTGACACTCTTCCAACGTAAACAATTCCAAGCGATTTTGTCGCGTGAGCACCGGTTTGTAGTCGTCTGTACTCATATTGATAGATAATGATATAGATTTCCCAGCGATAGGTAATGTTCGCTTCGGGATTTGGTCTCAAACTGATTTGATTTCGATTGTGTTGCAGAGTTTATATTGACGAAAATACTCTATAAAACAGGGGTAAAGATCGTTTGCAATCAAGAGTCGTAGATGACTAGGGGTATTCCACATTCTAGTCGCTGATCTCTGTGCATTAGATACTCTCTTCGCTAGAACCTTAAAATTGTAATCGTATAACGAGTAGCTCTTTATAAAATTCATTCAGATATGTTTAATTTTCCTCCTGTTAGAGTATACCCATTTCGATCATAGTATATTTTCCACTTGGTTGATATTTATAATCATTTTCTTATCGTATGCCGGCACAGCGCATAGAACTCATCCTTATCAGACTCTCTCTCACATGTTTGCCCTGTCCAAGGCCAAGTTCATGACGTCCACACAGCACTCCTCCATATAGGACCTGAACTCTTGGTTGGTTTCCATATACCCCAAAATCACTCCACTGCGATCCACATACTTGAAGTCATTGGTCACAAAGGCGGCTGGCACCTTGATGATGGTGGCCGCAACAGCGCGATAGACAATCCCAAATAAGCGAAACTCCTCAAAGGATTCCAGGAGCTCTGATTTGGACAACAGGAGCTCTGCCTGGAGGCCAAACTCTGAGAGATTCTCCACCAAATTATTGTAGTACACATCAATGCAGGTCTTTTCCATTTGCCTTCGACACGCTGATGTGAGATTCATGTACAAACTAAAGCCTAGATCCTGTGCAGGCGGAGTGTACCGACAGGTCTGAAAGTCTACAAGGAGAGCGGCCCCGATTTCTTCGCGTGGATAGAAGGTATTTCCCACCCAAAGATCGCGATGACAGAGCACATTCCTGTACTTGATTGAAGGCTTTGCCTGCTCATAGATGCCTTCCATGATCGCCAGCAGTTGGTTGTCAATGAAATTGAGTTCCCTGTCTCCCTGATACTGGGGAAGACTTCGTACGGCAGCCAGCACCGCGGAGAGGCCAGTAGTAAACCAGGCTATCTCCGAGGCAACTGTTACCTCCAGCAATTGATCGCCATAGGCTTCCCCAATATTCACTTTGGTCTGATGCTCGTAAATCAGACTGGCGGCATGAAAAGCTGCCACGGAACGCATCAGTTGATGCAGGTGATTCTCAGTCAGTTGAGTGGCTTCCACTGCCCGATATCCCTTTAGTTTTATGTCCTCGAGGACCAGTAGATCGGGTCGAGTGAAGTAACAAAAGGGACTCCATTTGAGCTTGGCTAAAGGGAACTCTAGCTATATTCCATTGGTTTTTTAATTTAGTTTTTGATTTTACTCACAGTATTGCTGCATTTTGCTTAGCATTGTCTCGTAGAACCATGTCTCTTTACGAAATATAGCCTCCTTGGCCACTTCGGCGCTTTTTAGGGGCAGGGTTTTGATGAAAAGCTGCGCTTTTTGGCAGATTTCCTCTCGTTCAACCTGAAATAAAAATCCGTTTAGCTATAATATATATACAGAACTATCTACACATATCTATCTATCAGATAAGTATATATCTGTGGATATTCCACTGAGTACCAAAAATATATGCACAAGAGTATGCAATGAAATGTAAATTTAAAGTAAAAACTTGTATGTATTATGTCATGTCATGTAATTTACATTTACATTACACGTTTTATTCTACATAAAGGTTCATTATCAGAGGTTGATGGGTATTTTAGCTTATCTTTCCAATACCTAGTAAGATATAGATATGAAAATGAATATATTAATAGATAATTGATCTATCTATTTATCTACTCATTTAATCCTAAGTAACTCTTTTGAAACCTTTTTGGAAGTTCTTAAAAGAAAATATCAAGTTTTCCATAATTTTTCTTTTTCTCACCTCAAATAATGTACAGTTTTATACTATAATTTTTATATATGGATACAAACTTGCAAGCTAAACTATACAAACAAACATATGGACACAAAGTTGATATCATTCTGCACTGATTGCCAAGGCAACAATGTCTCGTTGAGATACAGATACAGATACTCACGTTGCAGTAGCTTATAGTCAGTGCATAGTAATCCCCCAGATACCCAACTGCAGTGTCATCTCGAACCACCTGATAGTCCAACAGCTTGCTCTCGCAATTTGTTATATTTTCCAATATTTTCACACATTCGAGGCGGCTGAGCAGCATATTGCGTATACGTAATATCTTGTTTGATGTTCCTCTCTTTCTCTCTCTCTCTCTCTCTCGAGCACGCTTTTCCGAAAATTTTCACTCGGCAGAATGTGGCAGCATCTGACGGTCGTAAGCAACTAAGCGAAAATAGAATTCTACTCAGTTTTTATTTTCTTTTAGCAAGAAATTTGCATGCACAGATCTTGGCGGTGCATATGCACTGCAAACGATTTAGAGATCTATACGATAAGATATAGGTAAGTGGGTGTGTTTGCTGTTGCTATACGGAGCACTAAGATAAATTAGGAATATGCGGAAAGAAAGTAAACAATTTTGTGTACATGAATTCAAAGAAGAGGCACACAGAAATGGATTTAGATTCCATACGCATCTACACATCTATCTATTTATCTATGTTCCTCTAGACCCATCAATCCACATTTCTAATTAGTTTCCAAATATCCTTATCAAAAATCAGACATCATTTGTCGCTAATTTTGGGATCTCCAGATTTATTAATAACTTTAATTATATTTTATAATTTAAAACGAGAAGATGATGATTGAACTTGTGGAAAATACTTGTAATACAACCAGCATACTTAATCAAAAACCATACGTTTCAAACGATCATCCATATAAGTAGTATAAGGACGAATAGTGATGTAGTAAAAGATCTCCACGAAGCTAAGCAGACTGGCCCCCACAAATAATCCTGTTGTACCACCAATGGACACTAGAATTAAACCAGATTTAACAGAAAACCTACGAATTTCTCTGGTGATTCCACTCACCCACCAAATCCAATTTGCCACGCACTAAATTCCTCTTGTACCGCTCCGTGGGCAGCTCTATGAGGCCCACCTCAATGCGGGAGACGGGATTCTGCTCCCCCACCATGTTGTCCTTGCTGTCAGACACTGTAGTTATATCCACCTCGGTGCAAGAGGGCAGACAATCGCAGACCAGACCCTTGCGACCACGACGCTTCGACCATTTGGCAATGATCACCGAAAGATCCTCATAGTTCCTGTTGAGGCACTCGAGACCATCCATATTGCAGAGCTGCCAGTCGGGCGAGTTGGGGGACAGATGACTGGAGCAGTTGCACAGCTCCATCTGGCGATCCTTGCGGCACTGAACCGTGCAGGCACTATAGCTATAATAATTGTGGACACCCAGAATATTCTCATCGGCAAAACGGCAATTACGCTGATAGACGCTCGTCTGACGGATCTCCTCATCGTTTTCAATGTCACGCTTAGAGATATAGCGTCTAAGGAGTTTAAATTTTGTATAAAGAGTTATCTTGGGATCATAAGGAAGACCTACGTGAAGGATATATAGGGACCCACGACTAGAAAATCCGTTTTCGGCGTGACCAAAGTGGGAACTTCTTCGTTGCCCAATATGAAGACCTGATCAAAGAGATGGCACAGACGTTTGGATTAAATTTCGAATGCCTAAAGTTCCTGCTTTTGTTTAAGAGAAAATGAGCCGACTTTTAGGTACATAGTGAACTCTTTTGTAATAACGAAATAATCTTTATGAGGCAAGTTCTATGAACTGTTCTTTCTTCATAAAGATTATAGAACTCACTGTAGCTTCCGTATGCAATTCCATTGTGAGTGTTCCAGGTCCAGTATAACGATTCGAATACATATTCAGCTTGGGGCCCTTGTTCTTTCTGCAATGATGCATCTTTTGTGAGAAGAAAGCATATTCATTGGAAAGACTCACACTCACCCAGCCTGGAGAGAATTGATGGCATAGCATATGCCCAGCTCTGTTTCCATGCGATGGAAGTACTTGCAGCATTCGAAGGGCTTGTTGTTCCACTCACAATTACTGATGGAGTCCACACAGCTGCTCCTCACCAGCTGGGCATAGTACGAAAAGTTCGAGTAGAAACAGGAGGCCGTGGACTCCTCGCCACTGCACTCGTGGACCGTGTGATAGGATTCGCCCCGGAAGAAGGCAATCTCACTGAGTACCTCCTCCAAGGTAAAGTCATGATCAGCGCCCCAGAGTCTGAGAAGTTGGGGACTTTAAGGACAATTCGCTGATACGGTTTTTACTTACTGTTCAGCCACCTCCTGTATGCGATCCATATTCTTCGATTCACACACTATGATGGCTGGAAAATTTGTATTCCAATCGCGATACGAGCTCTCCACCACAAAGCTAATGGCATTATTCTCAAAGGCACCTGAAAGGTATCACAAAATGCCCCGTAAATCCGAACCATCTTATCTGTGTCGTGATCTGTAGGCGACTCACTTAGCGACGCTTTGATAAGCAACCAGGAGGCGTACCACGAGACCACCAGGCAAATGACCCAAAAGATTCGCTCCAGCCAACTGGCATCCTTGTCCACTATGAATCTGGCGCCATGTAGGGTAGAGTTCGACAGATATTCCTCTATACTTCGACTGAACCTCATGGCGGCACGTTTTTCTATGAACTCTAAACTGAAACTGATTGTAAGTGAACCGGAACGGAGCACGGTGTCCCTTGCTAATGACTCCTGTTCATTCGATCTATCCATCTTGATGGGGTATCTATCAGGTGTTTTTTTTCCCAGCCCCGACACACGCACCTGCCTGCTCTTTGAGTGGCACAAATTTGTTTGACTCACATCAACAATGGCTTAGCTCGCAGTTTACTTGATAAGCGGGCTTCCATCGGGTCTACATCCTACATCATAAATCCAATCCCCACTTTAAACAATTAGTTGCCAACGGGGAAGCGTGAGTGTTTTGTGTTTAAGTGTTTTAATCTCTTAGAAAAGTGTGTGTATACACGCCGAGAAAAATTACTTTTACACCTAGGTATATAGACTAGAATATATGAATTATTTATTTAAAATTTTGTTTGTATTGAGATTAAATAAAGGCCGTGTTTTATTTATTTAACGCGCCAGCCCCCGGCTCACTCGCTTCTCTCGCTACATATTTAGTATTTATTTACGTCGAAGAGAATTCTATTTAATTTTACTGTTTTTATTTAAAAACCGAATATTTCATTTATATATAGTTGTATTTCATTTTACTATGTCATTTTTCTCTGAGTGTATACTTAACAAAGAAGTTCAACTCACAACTTTTTTTAAATATCAATGGAAATTGATGGAAATTACTAAAAATTGTATTATAATATGTAATAGTGTTAAATGTGAGTAACATTTTATAAGTTTTCCCAAAGCACTTTTCCATGGCACGTTTCCCTGACTTTCACACCACCAAAGTGTGACCCTTAATTGCTTCAGTCTAGGCCAAGAGCAAATAAAGTAAATGGGCTTCCTTTAAGGCATTTGGATGCCATAATCTTATCTATTAGCCGTGGCGCTATCTTGGGAGAATTTACAACAGACTAGTAGAGAGAAAGTCGCAAATTGTTGAGCCAATATAAAACGTTGTAGCCGCGAACAGATCGCCCAACAGTTGACATCGACATGGCGACGGCACTGGAGTTGAGTCCCAACCAGATTCGCGGCTTGTGCCAGCGATACCTTGATCAAGATCAAGATGACAGCAGCTCCCATCTGGGATTCGATATAGTCAGCTATCAATTAAAGCCCACATCGGAGGCACCAGCCGGATATCTAGGAAGTCATTTCTATCTGCAGGTCACGGTACAGCTGCACAATGCAGAGGCGGCAATAAAGCTAAGATTCTTTGTGAAGGCTGCCCCCGAGGGTAATGCCTCGCGCATGGAGTACCTGGAGGACTTCGGTGTGTTCGAAAAGGAGATTGCCGTGTACAAGAATGTCCTGCCCGAGCTGGAGAAGGCCTGCGCTCAGGTGGCACCCAGGTGCTACTATGCCGATAAGAATCTGCTGGTTTTCGAGAACCTTGCAGATCAGGGCTACCGCATGGGAACCGGGCGGGATGGTCTAATGAACTATGAGCAGCTCCACTGCTGCCTGAAGACCCTGGCCGCCGTGCATGCGGGTTCCATCATCCAGGAGGCTCGTACGGGTAAGAGGCTGCCCCAATCCCAGCCCCTTGCCGTTGTCGAGAATGCATATCCCAGCAACAAGAAGCCAGATCATTTGCGGATTGTGAACTTCCACAAATGCTGTTCGGTGTTTAAGAAAATCATCAAAACGATGCCCAAATACCAATCGAAGATGGACTACATTTTGGATAACTTCACCGATCGAATGCTGTACATTTTCGAGGCCATCAGGACATCCGATAAATATCAGAATACCCTGCTTCATGGCGATCTGTGGGCCAACAACATAATGTTCCAGTATGGAAAATATGGCGAGACCCCACTGCAATGCCGCATCGTGGACTTCCAGCTGGCTCGATATGCACCACCAGCACTGGATGTGCTCACCGTCCTTACAATACCAACAACTAGTCAATTCCGGGCCGCTCATCTCGATGAACTTTTGGCGGAGTATTACCGATTCATGAGCGAGTTTCTCAAGCGAGCGGGCCTGGATATAGCTCGTTTTATACCCGAGGATTCTTTCTATCAGTCTGTGGAGGAGTTCCGCAGTGTGGGCCTCATCGAGAGCTGTCTCTTTTGTCATATGGTGATGCTGCCGCCATCGTCTACGCAAAAGTTGACCGGCTCTGAGGATGGATTCACTGAGTTCTTCAGCAATCGTCGCATAGAGATCTGCCAGGAGGCCTTCGACACGGATGAGCTGTACAGAACCCGCCTGACAGACATGATTGAAGATTTTGTGGACAATTTTGTATTGAAAGAAAGAAATTAAAGTTAGTAATTATCTAAATATAGAAACCCCAAAAACCTTGCTCAGCTTTTCAGCTCATGCTTCGTTGAGTTTTCGTTGTCATTTAGCTTTCTTCTTTTTGTTTGAAAAACTTTCGAGCAGTGTCCAAAACCTGCCAAGCCAACAAACCGATCTTCGGCTTTCGGCCACTACCTACTGGTAGTACCAGTACCAGACGCAGTAGCACTCGCAGTTTCAGTTCGTGGCTTTCTGGCGGCAAACTTCAATTCAGTTGCCAATTGGCCGCGTTCAATCCCACAACTGCTGGTTCGGGCTCTCTTTGAAACCTAACCGCCTGATGCTTAAATAAAGCACTTAAACTTTAAATAGTTTTGCTAATTTTTGAAAAAAATCAAGTCATAGACATATACAAAATGTGAGTTTGGTGAAGAGCGTAATCAGGTGTCAAATATGTAGTCTTGAAAAAAATAGTTATTTTACATGATAAATAATTCAATGTGCGAAAGATTGTTGCATAACCTTAATGGTCGATTGGTGGTGTTAATAAATAAAAAATTTATTGAACTGATGGAACTATGCAATTTAATAAAAAAGTGTAATAAACTTTAATATTGCATTTAATACCAAAACAAAACTCTACCACTCAGGCTATAATTATCCGAGCATAATAAATGATTTCAATGAATTATTTATTATATTCAAACTCCTTAGAAATCAAGCTAAACCCCTACATATGTATATGTACATAAATGTATTGGTACATCTGGAATCGGGAAAAAAACACAAAGTTCAATATTTAATAAAATTATCTAACTACTACAAATATCAACCGCACAAAACCTGTATAAAATTTGAATAAGGAGCTCCATTAAAACTCCTTTAAATACAATGATATACATTATATACATATGTCTCATAAAATAATCAAAAAAGGGGTAATCCCCCTTAAACTAAAAAACATTAATGAAAAACCATAAAAATTGAAAAAAAAAACCAATAAAAAACCTTTTAAAATAAAGCCAATTTTCAAAATATGTAAATATTTCGGAAATTCATTAGAATTAATCAATGAAATAAATTTGTAAGCAATTAAGAATTTTAACCAAAATTAAACTTTATAAATTCCATCCTTGATATTTTGTATATTTTCAAATACCTAGCATCTTAAACCTACTGCCATTTTCTAAGACTATGCGAAATCATAATTGCACAATCATTCAATATACACTAAGGCGATGATCCCATCAGCATGCCATAATTTATAAACCGAAAAAACTCAATGATTCGTTCCGGTGGCCACCCAGAGACCTACATTAAAAAGTGTGTGACAGAAAAAACCCAAACCATAAACAACTTTGACCTATCACAAACCGCCAACAACTATACTAAAAAAGTCGTTACTATACTAACAAAAGAAGTTAAACCAAAAACCATAAAATTAGACAACAAAAAAAGATTCGAGCTGAAAATATGCTGCACTTGACAGATAATTTCGTTTAACGGTCACGTTTTCTTAACAAAGCAGCAAAAAAAAAATGAACAAAAATACCGAAACTTAAAGCACTGCAAACCTCAAAAAAATTATAATAATATTAATGCAATAACCGAAAACAATTATTCCGATTGTCATGGCACACAGCGTTTTCAATTAAACGATGTGAAGACCCAGACAGAAAGGCCAACAAAAGAGGCCAAAACAAATGGCCAAAAGCAGGTGCTGCCCAGCCCCGTTACGCCATTCGGCTAATAAATATGATCCACAACGATTGTCCATCAATATTGACCATAAAGTGTTGAAGTGGGGGCGTGGTGTCAGGGAGGCAGTTAACCGATCGTGCTTCGTGGACTAAAAAAGTTGACACAGTTTTGGATTCAAGTCAATCGAAAGTGAAAACATAATGATGCAACTTTTAATTGCACCTTTCGGAATACTAATTTTAAAAATAAAATGCAATTTATTCATGAAAATTCAATAAAAAGAAAAGAGTGAAATAAATAAGACGATATTACAGAGGTTTCTGTATAGTTTTGTACCCAATATATGAAATCTCTTACCAGCATCATTACACCCAGTAATAAATAAATTTACTAACTATTACATTAACTAATTAAAAACACCTTTAATGACCCTTTCATCACATTTTAAGGGCCTCGCCTAAGACATATTTGAAAGAAGAACATGTATTACACGACCTTTAATTAAAATTTTCATGGGGAAATGAGATGTGCATAAAACCAGCAGCGGCATCAGCAAAAAAAAAGCATCCTCAACTGCGACAACCTTGAAACGGTTTAAAGAGTTTCACACTTTCAAAACTTAACGATCGCCTGCTTCAGTCAGCGGCGAAAACGTGTAATGAGCGTTGTTGTTGAGTGCAGACTATTTTTTTGGCTCAAGTTTCGCATCAAGGTTCCCCTCTCACTATCTGTCATCACGGTACACGGCTCTGCATGACCCAACCTCATTTGTACGGTTACGATTCTTCGTTCAACGTTCCCATTTCCGTAAATGTTGCTGTTTTGAGGAATGAAGACTGGTTCATTCCATTCCATAGCAGCAGTAGATTTCATCTCCAAGCCCATTTCAACAGTTCCTATTTTCCCTTTCGCTTATCCCATCACCGTCACCTTTGGGGAAATTAAAACTGAATCAGAAACTGAAACCATTCCAACAATTCCTATAATGTGTGCTTCCGATGCCTCGTTCCCATTACCATTACCAGAGTCAAAACTATTTGACCGGTTCCGATTATTCGTTTCTATTAATTAAGTACATTATTTCCAGCCAACACAACCTCATTTTTGCGGTTTCGATGCTTCCTCCACTGAAACCCTGAACGTAGATTGTAGTAGACCCCACTTCCAAAAACCTTATCTTTCATTGACAATCATCGTTGGGTACAGGTACAGTACCTATGCTTCCACATCCCCATTCCATGTTCCCTTCAAGTCTGAAGAAATAGAAAAATTGGATCAGAAATTCCAAGCAATTTGTAGATGAAATTTCCTTTCAATGACCCGCTTTCAGTACTTTTCCTACACAACCCCCTTTTTGTACGCTTTCGATTTTGTAATCCCCTGTTCTATCTGAATACCCGCTACCGATTTGTAAGAATGAAAATTGTAACAGATGCGTGAGCATATTTCCTCATTGTATGCAAAATATAAACAAATTTGTGGACTCTGTAGAATAACAATACTAACAATACGTCAATCTTTGTCAATTAACCACATGACCCAAATTTGGAATGTTGGAATGGAATGGAATGAAGAGACGACTACGTACGACTGTACGTACATATGTAAAAAAGCGAAAACTGCAACGACTCTCGGACGCTGACGCCAATTGGATTCCATTGACCTAATCAGACACAGACACGGAGACGGAGACGGTGTGAGACGGCTGATGGGTGATGGAGACTGAGACCTGGAACGGGACGGAGACAGCCACAAAGCGTAGTTGCAGTATGTAAGTAGCTGTCCCCGTCCCCGTCTCCGTCTCCGGCCCAGTCTCTGTGCCCAGTAACAACAACAATTGAGTGGCGTACACAAAATAAGCATGAAAACCTGAAAATACCAGCACATTTTTGGGGAGGTTGTGGAGGAGAGTGTTTCGCTGGCGTCTTTTGCGCATTCGCAAAACGCCAGAATTGCATAAGACGGTTGGGGTCCGTCCGATGGTCGGGCTGCCAACCGAAAGCGAAATGCAACCCGCCCAAGTCATGGGACATCAGTTGGGTGTGACCAAGAAGCCAAAATGGTTGGCGATCGGTAGGTGGGTCAGTGAACTGGAATGTACACAAGACAGGGAGATGTAATAGGTGGAAAGGAAATGTTGTCGAAGGATCGACCATGTGGTTCAAGGTTGTGATCTCGTTTCTGTTAACTTTTGGAATATATTTAGCTATGCTTTGTAGATTTCTTGGATTAACTAGGGAGAAACCCAAAGAACCCTTTAGTTTTGAAATGTTATGAGATGGAACTCAAGTCGTATCGTAATAGGGAGATGACTTTTGCCTGAGATTTGTATGTATCTTCAAATAATACTTTAAGAGGGTATACTTAACACTATGGTTCCTTAAAGAATGAATTACGCTCCCATTTTATTAGTACATGTTACGAATATTAATACTTAATGATAACTAGTTGACAGATCTATTGAGAAGAATTTATATGAATAATTTTTTTTCCAATGGAACTGCCTTAGATCAGCCTTAAATTAGTATAAACATCCACATATAAAAATTTGAATACATTTGAATTACATTATCCAAAACATCTCAAGCGAATAGTTTCACATGAAATATCCCCATGGAAAAAAAAGATCAGTTATAGATACTCGAATATCTGATGGCTAGCCGTACCATTGTAATTCAAGTGATTTGCATGCTATTGCATCATACAATTTTCCCCCTTTCGTACGAGTATGGAAATCGTAGAGGTCCAGCCAAGCCTTTGGCTCAGGCACAACGGCAGCCAATCATGACTTGGCCAAAAAGCAAAGGGCGGCCAGAAAACAGGCACATTGAAAATGCCAGTGCCGCCGGTGGCAATATCAAGTCCAAAACATACATCACCAAGGGGCAAGCGGTGCAACAAGAGCGGCGTCACTGCCGGTTATCCAATTAAAAGCAAAGATCAGGGATCTTTTTGCCACCAAACTGGGACGAAACGAACGAACCAACTAGCCACCGAATGACGATTGGCAAAAGCAGAGATTTTTTACCTCCACGCAGCACGCGACATCTAGGAAATGACTGGCCACATGACAACCCAACTGCAACTGCAACTGCAACAGAGAAATAGAAACTGCCACAGACGGAGTCGGGAGTTGGAGTCAGAGACTGAAAGACACAGCCAACAGTCAGCTGACTTGGCCAACAAGTTGTCCCGGCACTGGTACTGGGACTGAGACTGAGACTGGGACTGGGAGAGCAGTGAAAAGCCGGTCATTTAGGCGTGGACTGGACTGGGGAGAGCTCTTGGGGGAACATGCGTGTGGCGGTGTGTGTGTGAATGCGTGACAGGCGGAAACTTGTAATATTATATGCACGCCACAATTATGTAATGATCATCATAATAATAATTTAAGTCGAGCAAGTGGATGTGGTATAGTGAACTCAATTCAACTCTTCTTCTCACCAACTCTTCGTCAAGGTGCCTGCCCCGTCGCCTTATCTGGTCGGTGGCCATTGTCGTGGGTATCTCAATGCTGATCGAGGGACGTCCCCAGCCTCAACGGGATCTCGCACACATTGCCGTCGTGGAGAATGCCGCTTGGGAGCAGACCCTTCCACAACAGTTCCAGAATCCCTTCTACAAGACACCCAGAGTCAGGGATGCTTTGGCCAGATCCAGTTGGTTTGGTCCTGGCGAAGAGGTGGTACGTTTCATCACCTACAAAATCCCATGATGAAATAATTTTCTCATCTAAATGGAATTTCATTTCTTTCAGGTCTATGATCGTCAGGCTGAGAAAATTCCACGCATGGAAATTTATAATGTGTTATCTCATGCCGGTCTGATACCACGCCGGCGTTTCTTTTAAATATTTTGCATTTATCAAATTATGTTATGTACACCATATGAAAATAAACAATCGCAGTCATTAGTTTAGGAACAAAACGGACACAAAATTTGATTAATTTAATGGTGGTTAAATGCTTTTGATGTTCCATTGGATACTGAAACTCTTTATAGATTAAATTCTTACAGATTTAATGGATAAGAGTTTAAAAATATTTTCTTTTAGTTTTAGAAGAAACTTTGCACTGCTTCAGTTACCACAATTTGTTGATAATTTTGTAGAACTCCATACCTCTATAGATTGCATATAAAACGATATATTCATATACGCTTATACATATATGTATGAATGTCATGGTAAATTCATTGTCCTTAGTGCTTCGTATCGCTTCAAAAGAGCAATTAAGAGCTAAGAGATGATCGTTTGGATATTATCATATCTAGATCATCTATAGATTATTTATATTTATATTATTTATACATATTCCTCGATAAATATGTTGTCTAGACGGCTGTATGTATAGCAAATCCACTCTGCCATGGCTATTGGACAGTAGGCTTCCATGGAATTCAAAAATATAAAAGCCTAGAAGTCTAAAATTATAATTAGTACAAGGTATTTGGTGAGACTTCGCGTTTTAGATAAGCGGCTCGTTGTGATACCTACATATATCTCAGATGTGTATAGCTTGAATATCCTCGCAACCCACCAGAAAACAAACCGGTCATAAAATAAACAAAAACTTCCTTTGTGCACAAATGACTTTTGTATTATATCAATAATCGTTTTGCCCTAAAAAAATATAGAAAAACTTTATAGAATTTTTTTTTAAACAACTATATAGGGATTTTGTCTAAATTGATAACCTCAATTGTTTTTTCAGCCCCGTGATGAGCTTCAATCGATGGTCAAGGGCCTGTTGGTCCACCAAATCCGTTCCCAGGGGCTGCAGCTCCTCCTCCAGCTCGGCATTCCGCTCCAGCAATGCCTTGCGGACTATTAAAGTGGCTTCTTGCTGGGCATCGTTTTCATCTTCTACGTCGCTGTCCTCGTGGGACAGTCCGTTGCCATTGATGGTGGCACCATTGGTCTCTGCTGCTGCTGCAGCAGCGGTAACCCGCGAGGTTGCGTCCGCCGGAATCAGCAGCGACTTGACAAACTCGCCGCAGATCAGGCTCATGGCAGGCATCGTGTGGGCGGACAGATTGACAAACTGTAATAGCGAAATGAACATTAATTGGCATTGACCTTGCTGAAGTTCACAACAAAGTGTGTTTTAGTGGTGTGCGTTGTTATTATTTTTCGGTTTTTTCGGGTGTCGCGATTGCGGTTCAAGTTCAGTCGTAGTCCCAGTCTCAGCACCGAGACCCAAGCCTCGCTCAACAATGTTAATCACATGATTATTGTACACCTCAGAGGGGTATTATGATTCACAGCAGAGGTTTGTAATGCAATCCACGGCACTGTCAAAGACATAGTTATTTTCTTGATTGAGTATTAACATCAGCCATTACCGCCCAATAGCATAAGTTTGAAGATCAGGTCACTATGCCACATATCTTCCTATGCATATATCCACATGTATGTGCCACGATAAGTCCGCCAGGGTATCTAACTCTTCGACTAAAAACACCTTACTTCCCGTCTTGTATTGGTTTGATCGTCTGTCATTGCCTGGGGTTTGTGCGGCGCATTAATAAACTGCTCAAGCCCTCGAGTGGATTGTCGTTTAACCTTCGCGCATGCGCTTGGCCATCCACTTGGCCATTTGTTGCTCCACTTTAATGCAAAATTGTTTGAACAAAAACAGTCGATGTGCAAACATGTGACCAACTGTCAATTGTAATTGCACAATATCAAGTTGTTTTCCCTCAAATTAATTAAAGAATAAAATCGGCAGGAAGCAAACAATCATTTGTGACTCAATACATGACTCGGCGGCGATAACCCAGCTAGAGTATACAAATTGAGCTGACTTTCAGCTTTCCACAAGCTTGAACCGACTTAAACTAGAAAAACTCTGGGAAAAATAATGGTAATGCCTAAATATAATTAAGGCAAGTGCCAGGCCCGCACACAAGATATTATTATTACACCTAGCAACAGACTTGCGGAAATTTACTATTTACACAGTCTAGAAAAGCGATCCCAATTACGTACATTTTTTGGCCAGGAAAATACTTACAGAAAAACAAAAGTAAAGTGTCAAAAGCACGCAATGGCCATGCCATGCTGCTGCCCTACGCATAAACAACATATTGAGTAACGAAGTCCGAGAGAAAAGAGAGGAGCGCGAGGAGAGAACGAGGGAGAGCGTAATTGAAAGCACAGTGGGACAAAGATAACAATAACTGGTTGTGGGACCACTATATATACTGTGGTTAAAAAGAATAGAATGCTGACTCGGAATGTTCAGATTTTAAGCTTATGTTCAGAGTTCCTATAATTTTTTCTTCCCTAAAGTAAAGTTTTCTTCAATCGGAAGCTGAAGCAAATGGTCAATAGAACCTGGATTGAGGGAAACTAGAAACCTCAGATTTCAGTGGCCATTTTGATATAGGCATTTAAAATATTATAAATATATATGTTAATGGGATTAAATATAAATACTAGGTCTTTAGCGTAAAGAACACCATATCAATTTTATTTTCCACTGTCCAAAAGAGGGCTTGCATCGGCACGACTGCACTTCCCATTCACAATAGCCACCGCCGGAGCTTAAGAGAAAGAAACAGGCAGTAAAGAGCGAGCGATTCGCAACCAATAACAAAACGAACTTTACGAGCCACGAGCGGGGCTTTCGTTCCGTTAGAATTATGAGAGCGGAGCACGCACGAAGCGGCTGGCCTGGTGCTCGTGCCCGGCCATGCCGAGTATAAATGTCGAAGTGCTTCGCCGACAAGTTTACACTTTACCGTTGTATTTCAAACAACAAGGGAGCCGGAGCAAGTTCAAGAGAAAGAGAGCGCAAGCGGAAGCGCGTGCCGCTAAAGTTTACGGAAATAAAATTGAACACAAAAAAGTTCAAAGCGCAAGCCCCCCTCAAGAGGCTTATTTGTCCTCCTCATCAGCAACTGCAGCAGCTGACAATAACGCGTCGATTCTTATTAAACAATTTACGATCCAATTAAACAACAATTTACACCAAGAGAGAGTGAACGGAGTGGAGTAGAGTGGATTGGATTGGATTGGATTGGGAAGTAGAGGAAGAGTCACCAAAAATAAACGGCGAAAATGTGGCCCAACTTTTATGCTGTCATTTCCATGCTGTGCCTTGCACTCGTCGCCATCGGCGCCCATGCTGGACCCGTGCCAATTGTGAATGAGGTGAGTGCGAGCCAAAGGAGTTGTGGGGGGCGCAGCAAAGCCCACATTTATAGGAAAGAGGAGAAAAATAAAGGAGTAAAGCAGCGCAGAAGGGGAGACTATTTAGGGAATGGCTAAGAAAACAAAAGGAGTACAGTACAAAAAAGGGGCCGACCCCTATTCGAAGAATAGGAGAAAGAAGGAAAAGTTCAGTTCAACTGCAGGATGCATACATTTAGGAGAAGTACAGCAGGGGTCTTATATATAGGGGCAGCAGAAGAGGGCATCTTTTTGGGGCAATGACTTCACTGAAAATCTTCTGGGTGGGTGGTAAATGCAACCCAATGTGCGGCAAGTGCGGAAGTGCAACCCCCTTCTAATGAATAGTGGGCGTTGAACATTTTCTCAAGAAATAATAAACTGCAGTCTTAATTAAAAGATTGCTTTCTAATTAAAACATGAGACATAATAAACAAGAATTAAAGGGTAGCTTTAAACATCAAGCTATATGAGATTCCAGAACGATTACGCTGTAAGTTCTATTTTTAAGATGTGAAAAATAATATTCCACCAAAAGTAGGGGAAATGTATTGGGTTTTCTTTAAAAATCAGGAATATATGAAAATATGTACTCGTTTTATCAGAAATTTGATATACTCATCTGAAATGTAGATGTCAGCTGAATGATATAGCTTCCGGATCTGGGCGGTTCGAAATCCAGCTATAAGATGATCTGAGCAAAGTTGCAACCAGATAGCTATAAAACTGAGAAACTTTTGGCTGGCATAGAAACAAACAGATTGCTGCTGATCTAAAAATACTTCTTCCCACCTTGAAGGTTTTCCAACCCCTTGCCGAAAGTACAACACTCTCTTCAAAGGGTATAAAAATACAGTCATTGTACACGTTTACGTCGTGTGTTGTTAATCTCTGTAACTATATATAGCCGGAGGTAATGAAGTAGACAACATCTGTACGAATATAGTAGACAAAGCAGTTTATACAAAATTTCGAGGATTGTGGATCAACCTTATCAATGTCTCCCTGTCTCTGCAGACTTGACCTTTGGTAGAATAAACAAAGTGATTAATAATTATATAAATAACAACTGATTGTTCCATAGATGGATGATCTTTGGAAAAGTGATCAAAGACCAACAAAAAAATGAGGAATTCCCAAATAAAACAAATGGAAAAGTTCTCTGATGATTATTCAAGAATATTCTACTCAAAATGGGATCTGTTAGGAATCGTATCATTAGATCTTTTCAATGCACGAGACTACAAAAATCTCATTATTATTCAGTTACTAGGCGGCTGATGATTATTGCGCATGATTTACAAAAATTCCTAAACAAAACCAATTGAAAGGCGCGTCCAAAAATAAAACCCACTTTCGAGTAGATGTCGTTATAAATCTCAATGGAAATTATTCAAATTGAGACCAGCAGACGACACAAAAGAACATCACATAACAGAAAGATTAAAGGGTGCCCCCGTGGGGGAGAACAAAAAGGTAAAGGAGGCAACATAGTAACAATAGTTCAATAGATGTTTCAGACGTAGATCAAACAACTTTGACAACCTTTTTGCTAGCATATAATTATAAAAGACTCCGTTAAAGCTATTCAAAATAGTACATAAGTACATTTTCTGTTCTTCCGAAACTCATATATAAATGTCTTCCACAGCACCAACAGCTGATGCCCAAGGTGCCCCAATGGCATTGTCTGCGCTACTTCAAGCACGACGTCTTGATGATGCGTCGCTGTCGCCACTTGCGTGTACCAACGGCGCCGCGGCTGGGCGATGTCCTCAAGCGAAAGAAGAAGTAAAGGGAATCGATCCAAGACAAGACAATCATCGTCAATACTCTTTAAACGACTGAGCAATTGAGCTAATATATAGCCACAAAAAGGAGATTTTTATACCCAGACCAAAGTTAAACCATACTAAACTATATACGAAAACAAATTAATTATAAACTTAAGATACGTCTAACCCATTGTACTTCATAGATGCGTAAGGTTTCAATAAAAACAATAACTTTGAGAACTGTTCATACATAAGCCTATAAACTTTAAAATAGTTTTTGAACGAGACAATTCTCTCCAGATTTCACCAAAACTAAGACAATAGAAAAAGATAATGAATATGATATATGTATATCCATATCTAAGTCAACTACTTTTAAGGCTAAATTCATCAATTTTGAGTGGTACACAATAAACCACAACAGTTATCTGACTTTGAGACATGCCCACACATCTAATGGGTCTTTTTCGACTTTCGAGGCTAATGAAGCCTTCTTTTAGAGTGACCTCCTTCTGACTGCGATTTTGTGGAAGAACCCTGTATGTTGAAGGCTTTTAAGCACTTTGCTGGGTCCAATATCTCCCAAATCCTATAAGAGGTTGCTTCCTCAATGTTGACCCGATATCTCGCTTACTCTTACTCGTATTTAGGCACATTTAAATTCGTTTGCAAATACAATAAAACTTACCGCACTGACGGCACTATGCTCGCCCCGACCCACTATCAGGGGCCCACTAGTGGTCTCGAGGGCCTCCAGTTCCTTCTTTTGTTGCCTCACATGAATACCAAAGGTTGCATGCGTTAGCAGGTTCTCGGTGACGGCGGGCGTCTGGGCAAAGCTGATCGGTGCTGGGGCATCATCCGTTGGACTCTGGCCGGGCGCCGCCAGGTATGCAATCTCCTGCGTTTGGGTGAGCATCAGCAGAGTGGACTGCGCCTGCCAGTCCACATTAATGGAGTTCTGTTTCGGCTGGCGCCGTGGCAGCCAGGCCAGGCCATAGGTTTTGGGCAGATTCCTGCGCTGGTAGAGCGGCAGCGGTACATTCGGCTGGAATACATGCACTGCAAGGAACGATTGATAATATAAAGAGACCTACTTTTGCCATTCGCAACTCACATTCGTCACTTTTTGTGATGACGGCGATCAGATTGGTCAGTGGATCGAAGGCCAATTGCCGCACCGATAGCTTGAGACCCGCCTGGAGGCGCAGCGTCAGCAGGTTCCAAATCAACACTCGCGACTCCGTGCACACTGCCACCAGATGCCCCTGAGCGCCAGCTCCAAATTGCACATGCGATATCTGTGCCAGTCCCTGCATGGGCGCCGCCTTGGAGGGTATTCTCTTGGGTGGTGTCGTGTGCAGATGCCTCCGCTTGGCCGGCGGCTGCTTCGGTATGGTGTTGTCATCCAGCTTGAGGATGCTGAACAGAGCCAAGACATCTGTTTGCACCAGATGCTCATAACTCTGTCGCCGCTTGCTTAGCTGATCCAGCCGATGCTTGGCCTTGTAGCGATGCCTCGTGTGCAGGCGATGCAATCGAGCATCGAGTTTCCTGAGACGCACTCTGGCTGACTCTGGCCGCACGACACACCGCTGCAGGTACTCCATCAGCTGTTTCTGGCAGGCGGGGGGCACACTGCACTCGATTCCAAAGCGTCGCAGCAGCTGCAGTTTCTGGTGGAGCGCCAGCTCGGACATTTTCATGATGTGCGTGAACACAGACTCTTTGCTGTCGGCCTCGAGCTCCTTCACCTGATTCCCTTTCACTGGGGTACCCATAATCAGATCCTTGGCTTGCTGCACCAACGTCTTGTCGTCACTGCTACACAGTGTCTTCAAGATGGCCCACAGTTGCTGCCGCTGTTGGACGATCTCGTTGCGGGCTCCATTCAGCGTCGTTTTTGCCAGACGCAGCTGGGCCTTGGACAATACACCGTCTAGACCTGGCGGACAGCTGAGAGAGTGTAGGGGCTGGGTCGGATTCCTGGCATCGTAGAGGGCCAAAATGTTGCCATAACCCACGGCCAGCAGAGAACCATCTTGGGAGAAGCAAATGGAACCAATGGGCAGATTCCTGTAGCTCGTCTGGGCCAAGCAGCTCCACATAATGCCGCGCCTGTAGATGTTCTCCGAGTCGGTGATGCCCCACACTTTGATCACATTATCCTTGCCCGCAGTGGCGCAACGCAAATTGTCCACTTGGAATTGATTGGAGAAGATGATGGCCTTAAAGCCCTGCTCATGCGGCAGATTAATGTCCGTGTTGAGAATGTAGCTATAAATGTTTATGTTTTAGTTGTGGATAAACATTGTTTTTGGTTTTGGGTACCTCTGTAGCTTTTCATTGTATTGCCAGAACTTGAGACGCACTTCGGGAAAGTTTTCCAAATCATTGTACACCTCGCCAGTGGCCATCCAATTGATGTTGAATGCGGCACGTGTCACACGCGTATTGTACACAATCAAGCTATCCTCATGGCTGTGTATGTTATTGTCCACCACGCGAAGCTGTCAATAAAGAAGCAACTAAAGAATTAGGCACACAAGATAGGAAGCTAAGACTCACATTGTAGAGCAAATTCTTGGTGTACGCCGAATAGAACTGCAAGTGTCCGGCTCTCCCATTGAGTACCAACGTATTGGTACGTGGATTGAGGCACAAACCCAAAGGGAACTTGCTCCTGCCCGTCTGATCCTTTACGTCGTATGTAAAATGCTGTACCGTAGACTTGATGATGCTATTGCTCCCTCCGAGCAGCTGTATGGCATTATCCTCGGTGCAGACGAGTACATGCTCATTGTCAGCGCTCACCACAATATGGCGTATGGCGCTGGCCATGCGCGGCAGGTATTTCCGCTCCTCGGGCCTGTCCAAGGGCCACTTGACCAGCACTGTCTCATGACCACCGCTGTAGAGCGTGGCACCAGATGGTGAGAAGGCCAGGCTGGTCACCTCCGTGTGATGCCAATGGAACAGGGTATTGGTCATGGTTTCTTGCTTGTCAAACTGCCGCCAGACAAAAATTCGTCCCACTGAGTCGGCCGTGGCTACCACCTCCTCGCTGGGACTTATACGTACACACCTAATGGGGTTCTGGTTGGCGTTCTTGTAGCGACAAAAGTTCCAGGTCTCATAGTTGATAAAATACACATAGAAACCCTGGGCCAAGATTATGTACTTGAACTCGCCCTTTCCCACATCCACTACGGGTGTTCGCAGTCTGTGAAAAGACAAACAAATTAGAAAGATTCACAGAGATTTTCTGAATTTAAAACCCAAAACTCACTTCAATTTGAGGCCACATTTGACCGCAATTTTATCTCCCGTGTTTGTGTTGACCACAAACCAGTCGATCTGCTTGCCACTCTTCCGCTTGACTGTCACAAAGGCGCAGGCGGTGTCGCCGCCCCGGTACAGATTCAATAGGTTGCAGGTTAAGACTTGAAAATCTGCCAATTTTAGATGCACCATTGTTTTGAGGACGCCCGCCCGCCAGTTCCAACGCAGCAATTTGCCTGTGCTGGTGCAGCCCAGGAGCAGCTCTGGCTGCTTCTGGTCCAGCTCCAGGCTAATCAGCGGCGCCGTGGCATCGTCCAGGACGCGGGTTAGCTCGCCCGTGCTGGTCACATAGACCTGAACCTTTGGGCCGCATCGCACAAAGATGAATCTAAGGGGGGACATTTGTGGTAAGAACTTGAAAGGTCTTTCGCTGACTTTTACTAACCTTCCATCAGGTGAAAAGACGGGCGGATGTTCCACAATGTTACCGCCAGCCAAGTAGTGCAGCTCTAGTTGGTCTTCTTCCTCGAAATTCATGGCTGTCTGGCGATGTTCCGGATGCTAGCCTACTCTATAGTGCTTGAGCACTGGATATGCAGTCTAAGTATACTTATTTTATGCAACTAAAACTCCTTTTTCTGATTTATTTTCGAACAAAAGTTCCATCACAGCCAATGCACGTGTAGCGGATAGGATTAGTGTTGTAAAGCGGTTGTGTGCAGATGTTAAGCACTCGTGTTTTGGAACCAGCTGTTGGCGCGCTAAAATGTTTAATTTCATTATATTTATCTTAAATGTGCTAATATATAAAGCATTGACGATCAATTTAAATATTTAAGCTTATTTAAACGTTATAGTCAAATATACATATACAAATTCAAATGGATTTCAAACATTTACATGAGGCATGCAACTCTAGGGCTAACATTTATGATAATTCAGTTGTTAAAAACTATGTAAAAGCCTTCCATAATTTATAATATGAATTAAGTATTGCATTTTATTATATATTTATTTCATTTGATTAACTGTTTTCGTTTTAATTTGTAAAATGTTTAATTACGGCACAATTATTTGAATACTCCCGGTCTTTTTAGCGAAAGTAAACTAAAAAGCAGTGCTGCAAAGTGTTTTTCATATTGCAGCCCTGGAAATGTGCTGAGATAAACATTAATATGTTTCTGCAAAACATGTAATAAATATAAAAGAAAGTACATATTAGGTTATAATCATCTCTACGACGGCATATAATTATTGTTACTGGTCAATCAAAGGTCATTTGAACCACATAACTGCTTAATTGTGGAACACCTCTCACTACTGCAGGGTAGAACTACTTTATTTATTATTTAAGAACTACTACTATTTGAACTACTCTTTCGTTTTTTTGTTTTGACCTATTTCGCTAAAACCTTTTTTTAGACAAGATCCTATAAAAGCAAGTATTTAGAATAAACCAGTTAAGTACAAAATTGATTCATAAATCGTATAAAATGATGTGGGCATGTCTAAATATTCTATATAGCTAGTAATATTGCACGGAATATCAAAACCGAGTAATATGTAAAATATAACTTGAATTTGTCAGTATATTTACGGTATATTTTTCAAATGAGATGGTATATTTTGGTATATTTCTGAGGGTCGGACGGTATATTTTAACGATAAGTCAGTTCACTGGTCACACGAGTCGACAGAAATAAAATTATTAATTTTGCTAAAATTTTTGCAAATTAATAGTACAGGATAAGCTATTAGTGGCTTAGATCGGAGCAAGTGTCTTTTGCCAATATTTGTAATACCGCGAATGGTGTGGTTAGCCGCTGGTGTGGCACTACTGCGCAACCCCCTGGCACACGAAGGCTGCAATATATAAAAATATATTGTTAATGGATCAATTGGCCGTACATCCACTGTGAAGTAAGGGATCGGAGCTAAGAACTCAACGGCACGCAACGAGTGGACGCCCCCAAAAAAAGAACCGCACCTGCGGCAGCCACAAAAAATCAACATGAAGAAGAAACTCAAATTAACAACAACAAAAACGACTGAGAACATGTGCAACGTAGCATGCAATGGTGGAGACTACTTGCGGGCAAGTAGTAATAGTAGTACTGGATGCAGAGGAGGGCAGCCCCTGCAGCCGGTCGTGGTGCTGCTTTTGCTCATCGGCTGCTGCTGCCTCAGTATGGCCGCCGCCGATCCTCTTAAGGTTGTGTACGCAGTGAATGCCGGCGGAGAAGAGCACACGGACCGCAATGGCATTACCTACGAGGCGGATCCACTAAAGAATGTGGGCATTGCCTCGGACTACGGCAAGCATCTGCTGATGATTGGACGAACGCACGAGCATGACGAGATGCTGTATCGCACGGAGCGCTACCACACGACGACCTTTGGCTACGACTTCCCCACCGACGGCGACGGTGATTATGCGCTGATAATGAAGTTCTGCGAGGTGTACTTCGATGCCCCCGGGCGCAAGGTGTTCGATGTGCTGCTGAATCGCAAGCATACGGTCATCAGACAGCTGGACATCTACGAGCAGGTGGGTCGTGGCTCGGCCCACGATGAGATTGTTTACTTCAAGATCAACAACGGGCGACTGCACTACTTGGGCGAAGTATCGGATGTGAGGAACGGCCAGCTGCGGCTGGACTTCATCAAGGGTGCCCTGGACAATCCCAAGATCAATGCCTTTGCCCTGCTCAAAGGAGACATTAGCCAAATTCCCACATCGGAAGCCAGCACCAGGATTGGACCCGAGAAGCCCAATCAGGGACAGCAGGAGCGTGTGGTACGCACTCAACGAGACGAAATAGACGAGGATGACGAGGACCTAGACGATCTGGATGAGCTGGAGGAAGAGGACATGATCGAGCAGCATGCACCACCACCACCACCACAGCAACAGCACCAACACCAGAATCATCATCATCAACAACAACAGCCACCACAGCAGCCCCAGCAGCAGCAGCAACAACAACGCCAAGAGCAATCCCAATCACAGACGCCCGACTCGAAACGTGCGTTCAGCGGACCACGTCAACCCAATCCATATTCGATGGATGACTCTTCCATATTGCTTCCAGTGTTTATCGCCATCGGAGCTTTCATACCGCTGCTTTTCTGCCTGTGCAAGCTGTGATCCCCATGGGAACGATCTTGGTGCCTCGGCCTGTTTGATTTATTGCTTTTTGTGATTTTGATAAAAGACTTAATTGTATACTTATCGTTTAGTTTGTACGTTAGGCATACCCTAGAGACCCCCCTTTCCCTCCTTTCCCATCCTCTTTTTCCTTTGCATTTGCCACAAGACGCACAGATCTCCGCCTCCTCTCCCCATATATCGTTTCTCTCTATAAACCTAAGTCCGTGCATATGTGTTCCTTTTTTTGACTACTGCCGTTCCAGGCTGAGTGTACTTAAACATATTGTAACTCGATTCTTCCAAACTTAACTTAAATTTTAGTCGGTGTTGTTCTATGGAGAAATGTGCGCACAAATTCTAAGCGGTTTTATGGCAGTTTTGCTTGAAAACTGTTTAATTTTTGAATCGAAATGAAATAAAGAATCAACCTTGTTTGTTATAATCCAATATTGTGGTTCATTTTTAGTTTGCAATTTCTGTGACGTCACGTTTGTCAGTTAATTACTGGTTCCAATTTCGAACCTATTGCTCAACACTGATAGCTATCGAGCTAGATATATCATCCCTGGCAGACATCCTGTCTGAAAATAACAAACAATATTATCATTAAGCATATCTTTCCTCCATTTACCAGCCGTATTCCATAATTTTGTTGTTTTCCAAAATTTGGGTACTTTCCTAGTCATTAAACACACATATCAGCTATTCTCCAGACGCAGTAACCTGAGGCTGCCAGTGGAAACGACTATTTTGCATCATTGCGCCTATATCGATATCGATAGGAAACTTGCGGAAGGATAACGAAAGAGAAAATTCAGTCATCAGTGCGCCGTGGCTCCATCTCCATCGAATTGGCAATGAAAATGTCCACGCGCCAGTTCTTCAGCAAGTACACAAATTTCCACAAAAATCACATCAAATTGGTTGCTGTTTATATGAAAACGGCAAATCTAATGCAAATCTTGAATGTGCTGAAGCGTTCGCTTTAAGCAGGAGCAGGCCGTCGCCCTGCTCTGCCGGACTGTCGCTCCTGTCCTTCGTGTTGCCCCGTTGCCTCCCCCACTCCCTTCCTTCCTCATCCAATAACAAATATCGGGCTGTGCGTGTGTGTTTTTGTGTGTGTAAGTGTATTACATAGTGCTATTAAAATTGAGAATCCCATTATGTTAGTACTATAAGACCGTAAAAAGTAGAGTTTAAAGAAAAACCATAACTCAAGAATATCAGAGAGTTGAACATAACTGATAAATTACCGGCTTAGGAAACCTAGAAATATTTTAATAAATATATGTATATTAGGTGTGTCTGTGAGAAACTCTAAAATATTAACGGTAAGTAACATGCTTTTCCCTGCTCTCTCATCCTTATGTAAGAAAAAGAATTGTTTGGTCTAGACAGGTGCTCAGGTCCCTAATTGCATAATAGGTGGCCATAAATCTTGTTTAAACTGTGGCATCTAATAAGCTCCTGCAAAGGCATAAATCCTAAAGGTCCAAAACCAATGGTACCCTTAAAGAAAAAAAAACAACCCGTCATCGGTAAAAAAGAAGGATGTCTCCCTCTCTGCTTGTCAATTGCGCTCTCTCAAGACATATTTATATAAGGTGAGGCATTGCCGCTCTCACGATGTCTATTGTTTGATTTCCATTGTGTCTCTGGCTTGCCACGTTTACACACACACAAACAAATACGGAGAGAGCTTCACCCTACCTTCAATACAACTTACACTCTCTCTGGTTTTGTGTTGCTCTCTCTCTCTCCCACGTCAATCGGCAAACAGATGTTTTCCTACCGAATGCGCATGTAACTGAAGCGCCACCCACTGGTACTCGTAACGGTACCTACGCTAAACAAAAATAAGTTGACAATGCCGGACACCAATGTCGACGTCGTTTTTACGTCACACATTGCTGCCTTTTACCCGGCCTCTGCCACTGCTTCTGTTGTGCTGTATCTGCTACTGCATCTCTGCTGTCTCTCTCTGCCCCGGTTTTTGTATCCTGCTATTGTCTCTGCCTCTTGTCCAGACTCTGTCACTGCCTCTGCTACTGCTGCTGCTGCTACTGCTACTGCAATAACAATAATAACGGCGTCTCGCAGACGCAGCTGCATCAAACGCTCAAAAGTATGCTTTGGTTTTTGTATGAGCTTTCAGTGTGTGTGCGTGTGTTCTTTATATAATGATAAATGAGCCGCAGGACTCCATGTTTGTACCATTATTGTTGTTCCTTCCAACTGCCGCCTGTCCAAGTAAATAACTTTGTTTTGTCATGTGGACAATGGCATCGAAGCCCAAAAAAAATCTTTTGCTGGCTGACCTTCGACCGAAATGAACTTGACATACAAGGGGGGGATACAATTGACAATCGAAATCCTTTAATCCATATTAAGCAGTCAGTCAGACAGAAGAAGATAAAAGCTTCAGTTCTTTAATCATTAGTACCGGAAGTTAAGGAATTTAGGGACTAACTTCTTGTATGATCTGTAAATTCTAAAGTCTATCTTGTGTATGGAAAAAAATCATAAAAATCTTGTATTAGATTGCTCTACTTCTTAAAGGCGGAATATCCATCATAAACAATAAGCCCATTCACAAATATTACTCATAAATAAATACAGTCAAAGTTCTCTGTTGCGAAAACATCCCCTTATTGCTATCTGCAATATCTCGGACTTTTAGAATAACAGGGTTCCCTGTCTACCAAAGACTTCTTTCACTGTAAATACAAGTAGCTTTCCCCATCTAGAAATGTTAGTTTCCTGTTTCCGTGGCAAATGGAGTTTACTGTCATTCGGATTATTAGTTTTTGGCAGTCATTCTGTTCTGTTTCTTCTGCCACTGCGGCAAAGCCATAAGTATTGTCTAGCTGTCACGCCCCAAACGTTCTAATGCTACAAGTTTGTTTTTTTCCCCTGATTTACAAATGCTGCTTCTGCTGCTGCTGCTGCGTGGTGCTCCTCCAATGTCCATTTGGTATCCTTCCTCCATGGTCATTGCAAAAGTGTAATATGTAATAAAATCGTTGTAGTATTCCATTTGCTATTAGGGTGAGTGGGCCCCGTTTCTCAACTGTCTGGTGGATATATGTGATGGTTTTGAGGGGGAGAAGACGCCTGATTTGTACGTCCGTCTCCTGTTGGCGCTTTGCTATCCTTCGGTTGTGCTGTGTGTGTGTTCGTTTGTCCTTGAGCAACGCCTGACGCTTACATAATGGCCCGCCGCAGCAGTGCCTCCCGCAGTGCTGGGGGTTTGGTTTTCGGGACATTGTTATTATTATCATGATGTTTTTCAGCTGAAAGTTTAAGCCGCACGCACACTTTGCATTCAAGTCTAATGAACCTGAAGTATGGATTTGCTCCTCTTTGAGAGAGAGCCTTCTTGAAGGCCAAAACTTTTCCAAAAAAGTTTTTGTTGCTTTTGTGGTGGTCTTTCTTTTCCTTTTCGTTTGACTTTGAGGTTCTTTGGGGTATTTCCATTACACTTTATCGAAGCGCCAGCAATTCCCATTGTTTTTCCCTGTGCACAGGAAAATTTCAACTAATTTTTTGTGAAATTTTAATAGAAATGGTTTTTATTTGTGAATTGAATATTGTAGCATAAAAATTGTTTGGCAGAATGCGCATAATAATAAAGTCTTTAATTATGGGGAAAATGTCCTGAAAATACTTCAGATATCCATAAGAAACCAGTTCACCCAGTCATTATTATTAGCATTTGCTTGTGTGTCTCGAGCCGAGCATAATGGGGGAACATGGGCGGTACAGATGGAAGGTCCCTTGATGATAGTTTGATACCAAAGTTTGAAATGCTTATCTTTCTCCACGGCAAATGTCTGCTTAAGAAAGAGCCCCCTAAGATATACATACGTGTAAACACAATGAATGGCATATAAACATTATAAAATATGTATTTTTGGTACAATCTATAATATTTGTTATTTGTTTGGCAATTCCAGGAGTGTGTAAAAGTGTAATTCAAGGCTTTTGTCTGTATTTTATGTGTTACAAATGTGTTGGTTATGTTTTGTCTGTATTTCAAATTAGACCCAGTCCAATGAGGTCTTCGATGAGCGTGAGAGGATCCGGGATGAAGGCTATAAGCAAAACCAGGGCGATTCCAAACCATTTGCAAAGTTTGAAGTTCCTTCGAGTGCTGATCAAGACATACTAGACATAGAACCACTCTTATACGATGGGTGCCGAAATCAAAGCGCCAGGGGGGCGCACAATTGACTGGAAGGGCGAAGAAAGAAAATAGCAAACACAGAGCATTGATTTCTTCAACTCACCAAAACGAGGATCTCAACTTTTTGGATAAACATCAGAATGACTTCAACGTGGCTATCTATCTGAAGGACCGAGCGAATCCCAATGCAGTTATATTTTTCACTGACTGAAACTAATGACTGCCCTCAGCGCAGGCAGCGCGACGGAGTCCGCAGACTCATTTGTTGTTCGGCTATTACAATAATACTAATTAATAATAAACTACTCCACTAATGAGGTGCTGATCAAGGCCTACTATCTCAACTGTCAGTTTGACGCCCTAGAAGTTAACGAGACGTTTGTCAAAGGTTCCGCCAACATTTACCAGTATGATTGGTTTCCCCCAGGAAAACTCACTCAACCAAAAATCAATCTAATCAGTATTATTTTCGCATTGTCAATGCTGGAAATCATTAGCAAAATGATATACTAACCATAATGGTAGCAATTCCCTTTTTCTTCATTCATAAAATAGTCGTTAGGAGCGCCCAATCAATGCTGGCGGAGACGGACGACGCAATGTCGTAAAAAGAGAACCTGCAGTGGATTGTCCTTAGCATTCAATTATGTGCACTTAGCCTGCAAATCGTTCAAGTACAAGGATAATGTGACCACCAGAGCACTGAGTGTACACTGCTGGATGCTACGTAATACGAGTGGGTGGGAGGTACTTCTCCTAGACAGATGGCTGCTGGCGAATGGCGGTAGCCAACCAACCGATCGATATGGAAATGCCACGAACCCTACTACTTTATTGAAATGTTTGCCAACCAAGTGCAGCCGGAGCAGCAGCACACAGGCTTGCAATTACAAGGGAATGGCAAACGTGTTGTTATCCTTGCCACAGGACCCAACCCATGCCCACGCTCGTGCCTTGTTATGCACACAAAAAAAAATCAATTTAAACTGCAGAAAACTCTTCTGTCCCTTGCGGTCCGGTTCGTCTGTTTGCTCAATTATACCGCATACATTTTCATTAACCCGACAAAATTGGAAAGGAATTACAAAAGGAATGTGAATTCAGAAATTGCCTGTCATATCCCAGAACCAATTAAAAATGTGTTGAGCTTCTCTGCCTCCAATGACCGGATACCTATTTGCCACAGATACTAGTCAATTCGGTTGCAGAATTTGTGAAATGTGAAGTTGTATGCACATACATATTTTATTCGAATTCAGCATATTAATCCATAATAAATCCATACAACGTGTAAAAGAGATCTGTCTGGAAATTTCTTACCCTGATTTAATACACCTTGGTTGACGTCTGTTATTTATATTAACAGAAGCAGACCTCTTAACAGCTCTCTGTTAGACGCTGTCAAAAGCAAAACAGCAAAAGAATTGGGAATTCAGAACCAACCAAACCAATAAAAAACTGTCAAACCCCGCCAGTCAGCATAGCAGTTATACATTTTGAAAGTTGAGCTTTTTAAGGAACAGTTCCAAGAAATCCAAACGAAGTTCTTTAACGGTGGCACGCAATATTTCATCGCACATTTGGTCTGTTTTTGAAACTCACGTTGCAGTTTCATGAAAATATTTAAATACTGCGACACACAGAAACAGCATCCGTGAGAGCGCTCTTTAGCAATGCCCCACCCTGTTCTGATACACCTTGGTTGCCGGCTGTGTTTTCCTCTGTTCTCTGGCTTAACAGACCCGCGCTCTGTTAGACTCTCCCAACAGCTGGAAATGTCGCTGTAGCAGTGGATTTTTCGAATTTGTATTTAGATTTCATGAGGCAGTTTTAATTTTTCCACGGCCGGCGGAGCAAGCAAGCAGCGGTCCGATTTTGTCTTTGGTTTGCCAATTTGGTACTCAATTTATTTGAAAAATATTCGAAAATGAATAAAATACACTTACATACCTGTACGTGATGTGTATATGTAAATGAGTAGCAAGCTGTGTGTTTTACGGTACGCTCGCTCGTGTGTGTTTGTGGTTTGTGTATAAATTGTGCGCGCCCTTTTCCACCCGCGGCCCCTTCAGAGGCAGTGTTTTTTGTT